GACAGAGGGACAGTGGGACACGGGGGGGACAGGGGGACAGTGACAGAGGGACTCGGGGACACAGGGGGGACACGGGGACAGGGGGGGACACGGGGACAGTGACACTGACAGGCTGGAGGGACAGTGGGACACGGGGAGGACAGGGGGACAACAGGGACAGCAGGAGGGGGGACAAGGACACTGGGGACAGGGGGGACTCAGAGGGGACACGAAGGGGACACATGGACAGCAGGACACGGGGCGGACATGGGGACAGTGACAGAGGCTGGAGGGACAGCGAGGGGACAGCAGGAGGGGGGACAGGGGGACACGGGGGGGACATGAGGAGGACACACGGACAGTGGCTGGAGAGACAGTGGGAGAGCAGCGGGAGGTGACACAGGTGACACAGGTGACACAGGTGACACTCGGGTGACACACAGCAGGTGACACAGAGGTGACAGAGGTGTCACTCAATTGACACAGGTGACCCTCGGGTGACACGCCGGAGGTGACACGGGTGACACAGAGGTGACACGGGTGACCCTCGGGAGGTGACACCGGGGGTGACACTCACTCCACCGGGGGGTTGCCGGTGGCCGCGCACTTGAGCACGACGTCGTCGCTGGGGAACACCACGAGCTGCTCCGGGGGCTGCTCCGTCAGCTCGGGCGGCTGCTGGACTGGGGGGGCAGCGGCTGGGACCGGCCCGAGCCCCAACACCCCCAAAAACACCCCAGAAACACCCCAAAACCACCCCAAAACCCCCCAAAACACCCCCGAAACACCCCTAAAACCCCCAAAACACCCCAGGACACCCCAAAACATCCCAAAAACACCCCAAAACATCCCAAAAACACCCCAAAACACCCCAGAAACACCCCAGAAACACCCAAAACACCCCAAAACGCCCAAAAACACCCCCGAAACACCCCTAAAACCCCCAAAACACCCCAGGACACCCCAAAACATCCCAAAAACACCCGAAAACCCCCAAAAACACCCCCGAAACACCCCAAAACACCCCAGAAACACCCCAAAAACACCCAAAACACCCCAAAAC